GCATATTCTTCAACATAATTATATTCAACACAGTTGATTTATATGTCAGTTTTATTTCTATAAATGTCTGCCTACAATAAAATGTTCATTTTTCACAGTTTATCGTTTGCATTATCAAGTTCGACTTTTACAGCAAAATTCGTGCTTTCAAATTATTTTCAATGTGAATTTGATTTATAGTCCTCGAAAGTATAATCTTACTGATGCATATCATCTTCTGTATCGACTGATCGATTCAGTCTATAGCATGACAATTTAAATAATTGAAAATAGTGGAAGGCCAATGATCGACAAGTAGCAACGTGTCGAAGACATGACTCGTCTGTCGAGAATCGGCAAACCGAGGACTTAATGTCTTGGAACGGACGCCATATTAGCATATCCGCGTCCAATCGTGGTCCACGTGGCAAGGGCGCCGTGTCGAATCGGCCCGTAGCTATGACATTGTCATTATTTCACTGACAGAACAAGCATGCGCGCGATTCTCCACGGAGAGAAGTATCGCTAACAAGGGTGGGAAGAACGAGTGTCGTCTGATCGAGGTCAAAGAGGGGATAGATGACCGATGCTTCTTTTAAATCGAACCACCGAGCATAATGTTTTCAAATCTCTTTCCTGTGTCAAAAAAAAATTAGCCAACTTTGGTATACAGATATTTTGCTCAGAATCTTAGGGGTCGTAGGATCTTAAGAAATTGTGGGAAGAATCATAGTGATGATTTTTAGGATCGCGGTTTAGATCGTGGTTTAGGATCAAGTCGTGGTGTAAATTGAAGGATAGTGAAATTTTTGTAAAGACTGGTTTTTAAGGGAAAATGGATTCTAGTAGAATCGGGGGAGATCTGGTGCATCCTTGATATTCTATATGAATGTTATTCAACCTGGAATAGTCTTAAAGTCTCAAATCCATAATTCGAAGGATTCTAATAAAATTTGAGGGACACTAGTTAAAGCTAAGAGGGATGCTAGTGGAACTCGAGGGAGACCTGGTGCATACTTGACATCCCATATGACTGCTATTCAACCTTGAATAGCCTTAAAGTCTCAAATCCATAATTCGAAGGACCGTACTAAAATTTGAGGGGCACTAGTCAAAACTGAGAGGGATGCTAGTGGAACTTGAGGGAGACCTACTACATACTTGACATCCCATATGACTGCTATTCAACCTTGAATAGCCTTAAAGTCTCAAACCCATAATTCGAAGGATCCCACTAAAATTTGAGAAGCCCCAGTTAAATTTGACAAGAATTCTAATGTAACTCTTAGGAGACCTAATGTCTCCTTGACATCCTATATGACTGCGATACAACCTTGAATAGTCTTAAAGTCCCAAACCCATAATTCGAAGCATCCCACTAAAATTTGACAGACACCAGTTAAATTTAACAGGGATTCTAATGTAACTCTTAGAAGATCCACTACATACTTGACATCCCATACGACTACTATTCACCCTTGTACAATCTTAAAGTCTCAATTTAACAATAAAGTCTCGAACCCGTAATTCTAAGGATCCTAAAATCTCGAGACTAGTTAAACCGAGACTACTTTAAAGGAGATCGAAGAACGAAAAGAATGATGTGATCATAAGGTCCTCGAATAGCCAGCTTCAGAAGAGAGATAATAGAGGAGTACAGGAAGCGAGATTTACTCGTTAAAAGGAAGAAGAGAGAAGAAGGCAAACGATAGGGGATGATGGGAATTTCTGTGGGGGTGGGGTTCTTCCTAGTTTTATAAGGGATACAACTACTCTCGAGGCTGTGGCTGCTTCGTGTTATTTATCTTTATGGACCTCGGGCAGAGGGTAAGTACACTTACACTGACGGTTCAGAGAGGGAGGTTAAGGGGCGAAGTTAAGCCGAAACGAGGGCGGTAAGAGATTGTTTGTCGTATTGGCTGCGGTTTCGACGGGCTTAACGTTACTCGTTTAGGGGATTTCTTTGCTTTTTTTCTACAAGGATTCGATACCTCTTCAGATACTCTTCGGAGTTCAGTGCTCAACAAGTTTGTTCTTCTGTGTGATTTTATTGATGACAAAAGACTAATGTAATTTTACTGTAAATATAGTTACTTGCGTTACTGTAAGTATAATTATATTAATTGATAATTAACATGTTAATAATCCAAACTTAGAACTCACAGACGAACGAGGAACAAATGAAAGGAAACCTAACGTAAGGTGGAAGTAAATGAGGTTAACATACAAGCTTCACGGATACTCTTTTATTTATTAACAACGATATTCCGAGTGCATACAGTGCATATGTACAGAGTGATATTTACATCGAATCGATATAACGTGACATGGTAAATCTTACAAAATGAAACAGAACATCCGATTACTCTTAAGTCTAAGATGATGATGAATCATTTACATTCGAATTACATCGTGCACATTAGAACTAGTGAACCCGTTATTTTATAACGAGGAATTCGTGCGGGCTATACGACAACATTTCTCTTTAAAATTGAGACTATCTTCCAGCGAATATATACACACTACTATAAATTATTGCTGTACAGAATACTGTAGTATTTTATCTTATCGTACGATTTTCTCTCGTTGCAGTTCCCTTTGAATCTCCACTGTTAACGTTTATTAACATCGCATACAAATTTCATAAATTCCATTTCTATCGCAAGCTTTGAAATAAAATTATAAAATTTTTTAAACAAAATTTTCGAAGCTTTATATTTTTTAACTGAAGTACACATTTATTTCTAATAAATTAATAAAGTTATTAATAACGCTGAGCTGCTGTAAACTTGAACAGAAAGTACGTAACAGAGTGTCGAAATAAGCAAACGTTAAAACAGGAAGTGGCGATAAGTCAAGCAATTCCGTGCAATATTAAGCCACTCTGCTTGGCCAGGTTAACCCTATGTTAAGCCGTACGTCGACAGAGTAGCGGGGGTGCGGAGTCAGGGGACGGCTCGGAGGTCGCGTGTATTTAAAACGCGAATGCGCACCAGCCGATTCACTGTTTGAAGTTAAATGGAGTGTAAATGGCAGATAACAAACCGGCACTGTTTCCGATTACGGCATTCATTGTTTCCTACCATTATGCGCGCTCCGACGGTTTGTGTGTTAGCCGTGGTACGGTTTACGATCTATTTATTGCCACTCCCACCCCCGTGCCACCCCTTACCGCACGAACGAACGCAGCTTACATCCCTGCTACTACGATTTTAACCCCACCTGAATCTTTACCCCTTCACCTGTTCACTGACATTTTTTTTTGTGGAACTGTTTAACTTTTAACTGGCAGTCAGTGTAAAAAGTATTCGTACAGTAATTAATTTCAACAAAAATGTTGTGAAACGTCATTTATTAACAAAATTTGAACAAATAAAAAACACATACACATTCTTACATAGAATACATAGACATCTAAGAATATGTATGTATTTTTTATTTGTTAAAATTTTGTTAATAAATGACGTTTCACAACATTTTTGTTGAAATTAATTACTGTACGAATACTTTTTACACTGACTGTGGGGTTTTGCTGAAAAAATTTGGTATACTTTGATCGTAGTTAAAACATGTTTAAATCCTTGTAATATATTAACCTCTTTCCGTGCCATTTATTTATCAGATACGTCAGTCAAGACTATTCAGGACTATAACATTAAAACGAACAAAGAAAATTGAAGTATTGTGAATATTTTATATTTAAGGATCCTTGATAATGTAACTTGTAGATGGATCTAAATTTTAAGTTGAAGAGTGTTCAAAATTTGAGTAAGGTTTGTCACATTTAACCTGTTAACCGGGCGGGACTTATAAATACGACAAACGTAAACAATAGCGTGTACGGGTAGGACATGTAAATACGTCCTTAAAATAATTGCGCCCTGGAACGAGTGGGACGTGTAGTTTCGTACAACAAAGGTATTAGTCATCGATACATGTTTCGACAAGAATTTAAGACACGAAGAATTTTGCTATTGAGAGTGGTGGACATGTTCTAAGTAAAAAAAAAAATAATATTATGAAAGTACGTTCTAGTGAAAGAGTTCGCGCCCGTTGTATGCTGCGTAATTAAAAAGGGAATTCCCCAAGTGCGTCACGAGTGAGACTCGACAAAGCACGGGAAGAGATTAATAATTTATGGTAGTGTTCTTGGAAGAATTTATAGAATGTGTGTATTATGGTTATTGATATAAAACTTGATAGAAATGAATTTTTTTAAATTATAGAATCTTGCAGTGAGATTCAAAGGACACTCAACGCCTAAAGCTATTAATTACTGATTAGTCGAATTATTTACAAATTTGTCCTACCTAATATTGACTAGAGAGGGAATATTACCTTATCGAGATAAGGTTCTCCTAGTTTAAAGCTTACAGCGATTACGTTATCGTACACGTATACCAGGTAAATGTTGATTAATTTCGTTAATAGGTTAACTTTGAACGCCACGCAACTCATATTAGACGCAGAAATTCTGAAAAAATCTGACATTCAACAATGTATATTTTACTAGAAGTTGGAACTAAAGATCGACGTCCTCAAGGACTAAAATTAATCTAATAAAATAACAGTTTAAATAACGTGGCGTTCAAAATGTTAAAAAGAGACGTGACATTCAGTAACAAGGAATTAGCGATAGAGTAATGATTGTTATCACATACTACGTTTAAGATTGCATAAAAAAATTGGAAGAGCGTGTTCTAGTTTGATGCACTTCATTCTAGTCAACCATGAAATTTAAAAGAGATTTAACCCTTGAACGGCAGCGAAATTAAAGAAATTTTTGTACGTTCAATAATTTGTCTAATAATTACAGCTCTTATTATATTGCCCCGCGTATCACCGACCATGTGTTTACCACACCGCATTATAAACAAACAATCTAAGTATCTACCGTACAAGGGTCAATTCTGAGAATTCATTCACAACTATTTCAACCTCTCATTCAAATCCCAAACTTTCAATCATTCGAAAGAATAGCTACTGCTAAGTACCGGATCCTCCGTGGATGATTTCCGTCGTCACTTGCTGTGAACCGTAGTGGCCCGTCTCTTCACTTCGACCTGATCCACAATAGCGTCGCTCTCCTTGTCCTGATGAGCGGTCATGTGCCTGGTGAGATGATGTCTCTCCCTAAAGCTCTCGTCGCAGACTGGACACCTGAGCTTCTCCTCTCGTCTTCTCCTAGCAGCCTCTCCGCTGTTCTCGTTCTTATGATGCGACCTCATGTGGTACACCAAATCGGACGTCATCCTGAAGGACAGGTTACACTTGGCGCACACGTTCTGCGCAGGTAGTGTCAGAGCAGCGAACGAAGGCGGAAGAAGACCGGCCACACCTGCCGCCGTCGCTAAAAATCTGGGTCTGGTGAGAGCCTCGGCCATCGGCGGAAATACGGAGATAGGGTTGTAAGGGAGGTTAGGGTAGACCGGAGGAATGTCGGGTCGGAAGGTGGGCATTTTAGGGCTGGGTACTTTGGGCGGTTGAGCGATCTGGGGTATCTTGAGGTTCTCCAGTAAGCCGGGTTGACTTTCGGGATTGACCAGAAATGGGTACGCCATTTTGGCGGGAAACGGAGCGTACTTGTAGCCGCCGGTGGCAGCCAGAGGAACTACGGGTGGACTGACGCTGCTCTGGTAGCTGGTGCGGTCGTCGGGTGATATGGACGACCTGGGTGAGGTTTGACCGTCGTCGCTGAAGCCGTTTCGTTGACCCGTTAGAGCCACTTTCGTGAAGGCGCTGCGAGACTCGTGTCTGTCCGTCTGACACGGAATAGCGGTGTCGTAGACCTTGTTGCAAGCTAGACTTGGCTCCATAGCATCTGGACAGGTGGCCAATATCGCCTGATGAGGTCCAAACGTCGGAGGACTGGGTGACTTCTGCAGACGACTGCCAGTGACGTATCTCCTGACGTCGTTCTCCGGCGACAGACACGGCAGAGTGGGTGTCAGGGTCCTCGGCGAGATGTACGGGGGACTCAGCGAATTTTCTGTACAGTGCAGCATCCTCCTTCTGTCCGACGCTCCAGCGTCACTATCATAGTTCTTGATGGTCAGATTCTGAGGCAGCCTGTCAGAATCCAGAACGCTCTCCGTTACATCTTCCCGAGGCTGCTTCCGATTGGTTACCATCCTCATCTTCTCGTTCTGACGGCGAGCCAGGTTCTCATCCGGGGCAACCAGGAAGGCCACGTCGAAGGATCGTTTACTGGCGCGTTGAAGAGGATAAGAGGCATCGGTGGTGACGTCGCTGATGGACGGAGGGGTGGACGAGGTTAGCGCCGTCGTGGCCGTCGTGGACGTCGCGGGGGCGGCACGGTCGATGCCACCCGTGCGATCTTCCATTGTCATCCTGCTCGTTCCGGATGATCGACCTGTGACAATGAAGGCTGCTGGTCAATTTAACCGGCTTCACGGGTAATGATGGATCGCGCCAGGACACTCGGACCAGGTGTTAGAACTGTTTCTACCAGGGGGAATTCGGGTCAATGAGACGGGGTAGGTGTATTTGAAATAAGCGGGTGGAGATTGAATTCCGAGGTAAATTTATACAACGCGTTTACTGATAGATGAAAATAGATCTGTATGACAGCGTATTCACACTTTAAGACCTGTTTTTTTTTCGCAATTAAAAGAAGATATTTGTGTGACAAATTTTAGACTGATGTTACAGTATATTAATATCATTAGCTAGTTATAATATGTGCAGCAGTATGTATATTGTTGACAAAATGAATTGTGTTATATGGTTCTGAATGACATTTTGTGATTTTAAAACAAAATGTCATACATGTTATAATGTACTTTTTAACAATGAGACTGATAGGCGAACGGAACTAGTTGCCATACATTTATGTAGAAGAGTTTATGGTAATTTAACTTTCACTTAATCAGAGTACACTGTACTATTGTATAGTATGTACTATACATTGGACAGACATAACCTGACATAACCTAACTTCACCTATTCATCATAGGTTTGAATCACAATAATCACTCATCATTTATAGTGTAGTCATCTGTAGTGACACTATAGAATTGTAACGAACTACAGTCATGGAACTTAGTTATCTAAAGTGATCAAAGAAACTTGTGAAACAAGTGACCATAGTAACCACTGTGTTATTTGACTTGTAACTTTGATATTGAAGGAATGTAATGACAGCACCAAAGCTTATGAGCTAGCTGTACGATTATAGGAATCTTAAGTTGATAGTTAGAGTTGAAACGATAGAATTTGGAACAGTATCTGAGCATCGAATAACGATGGTCATAATGTAACATTCAAGCTGTCAATTTAAAATCGAAATCAAGCACGTCAATTCGAGGAGCTCCAAAATTACCTTACGACACAATTTTTCACTTTGACAAACCATATTTCAATTAACTTGACAGTCATAGCTAAGTGTCAGATGAAAATCCTTAATAACTAAAAATTTTAAATTTGTGCTTACCGGACCACGCGTCCACCGGAGAATCCTCTTCTCAGTCTCGCCTCCGGGTGATTCACCCCCTTGTACAATTGTTCCCCGTTCTAAGACGTTCACACTTCCATATCATATTCATTCCAACAACAAAACATCAGTCGTCCACTGTTAGCACTGAATGAGCACAAGAGAACAAACGAGGGTACAGCGTGTATCGGCGGACCACGTTAAAATGAGGGAACCGAACGCGCATCCCCTGTATTTAGGGGTAGAATCTCGTTCGAGGGTAGCTCGTGGTGGCGGGTGGAGGCGCGACGAGGGTGGGCACCGTCCAATGGCAACGTTCCCAGGGTTAGACGAGGGTGGAGCGTACGAACGGGGTGAACATATTCGGTCGTCGGGACGCGTCTGCTAGTTCCATCCAGACCACGCCTACATATTTCAGGTTCGACACATGTGCCCAGGATCGTCTTTGTCGTCGACTCTTTCCTCTTCTGCCCTCGTCGCGTTGCGCCAACGCAGAAACTCCTGTCAGAGAGAGGGAGGTTTCGAAGGGTGGCGGGAGCCGTAGCTGTAATTCAGCCTGACAAACGATCTTGAATATTTTTAACGCCCGGGCTCTTTCTTTTTTTTATGCCCGACCTCCTGGATATTGGACGTTCGGCAGACTCGTCGAATCCGCTGATGGACCTTCAACGATTCCCGATTATCCTCCCAATGATCGTTCGCTGAAACGTTTTCCATTTCAAGGGAGTCTGTCTCTTTCCTTCCAAATATTCTGCACGTTGCTTACGAAACTGAAAAGTCCGTGATGTTTAATCCATTTATATTTATAGCTGCGGTCACGATTCTTTTTCTCTGAACATTTAGAATACCTGTTTTTATGTCTGCACTAATATTTTTTAAATTAGATTTATTCTGGTTTATATTAAATTTATTCTAGTTTAAATTAGATATTCTAGTTTGATTGAGATTTATTCTAATTTGAATTAGAGATAGTGGTATATGTAAATCTTAGTAAATACACGATTAGTTAAATATTTTTATTTCAGAAGTTGATCTTTTGGAGACAAACTTTCAGTCTTTTGTATATCAATAATTTAAGATAAATTATGCTCTCTGATTTTCCAGGTCGATTTTCATCGAGATCTTGAAATTTAAGATCGAACAGTTATTTCAAGTTGGTCATCTTACGGGACATCTCTGGCAAAGAGAAATGGAGCGTATTAAATCGACCAAGCTGGACAGAAGGTACCAGCAGAGCCATGAGGGATCATCATTTTACGGATTATCTTCTTGACGAATTCTCCTCATTTCTCGCCAGTTCGATATCGTAATCCCTTCAAATGACATACAGCTGTTAGGAAGGCGTGTGATAAGGATGACTTTTTAAAAATCATTAAATTACTTAAGGCTCTAAAGCAAGTTTGACATTAACATTGCAGACGTTGATCAAATTTGATAAATTAATACATGTGTAAAATTAAAAATACAAAAGCAAACAAGTCATATTTTATAAAGTAGAGTCACGTTGTTACACATTGAACTCAGACAAAAAGAAAATTAAATCAAGTTACGTTATTTGCATCGAATCGTTGCAGTATTACTCGGACCATCTGCAATTTCGGCCAATTAATACCATTTTGGTAAACCATCGCAAATACGTAAGTAAAAAAGTAAGGCAAGCAGAACAAATCTGGAATCATGGCACAGAAATGGTTTCTAATACACCGGTAAAAAAGCGAAGGAAAAAGTGGGCAGCTCGCAGAGCCAATAGGTGATCAATCATAAGCTGGTGATCCATTTTGCTGGGCATGTGAGAGCCGTCGAGTTCTTACGCGATTCCCGAGATTCCCGTGAACTCTATCGGGAACGCCTAGAGGTTAAAGGACATTAACTTCTTGATTGAGTCGGCAAAAAGTTGTAATGACTTTTCGATTCGGCTCACCGACCCCAATTCTCGATACAGAAGCGCAGCGCTATCAAACACCCCTGATTGCTACGTTCCGCAATTATTTAAGGAAGAAAATTAAAAAATACAACGGTGGATCAGATTCCCCTTGTAACGATAAATCGTTTAGCGGAGCAGACGATAGTCTAATCCTAATTCACGGTCGTAAAGTTGATGGAGTCGTTCGCGTAACGCGTGACACGCGTCTCGCTGCAGGACGTTTCTGTATCTTCTGGCTACCATTCGTGGATTATGAACCATATTTATTGCCGATCCCTGCACTCTAATTCTACTTTACTGGATGCTTACTTCAAGCAATTATTTTCTTTACTTAGAATTATTTTTTCATTGTTACTTTTTTGCAATTGTGCTTTCATTTCTTATAATTTTAAGTTTCTTTTCGAACAGTCATATGAGTTTTTAAATTGTTATCAAGCTTCTTGGATGATCTATAATTCATGCAAGAAAGGATATTCATCCACAGAATTAAACAGAAGATTCAATGATATATAATTTCTATAAGATCTATAATTTATATGTATAAGAAAGGATGTTCAACTACAGAAATGAGTAGAGGATTCGTTCTAGAATGGACGATGTGAAGAAAAAACCGCAGTCGTGAGAATCGTCTAAATTTCACTGGCATCTGTCCTTGTCCTGCAAATCGGGGAGAAAGCAGTCCTCAATTCGTCCAAGTTAAACGAGCAGAGGGTCGTAGTTCGATCGGCACGTGGCTGACACGCGTGAGCTGTTAACACTGACACCGTCCTAGGGCTGTTTGTATCAACCGAAGGGACACCTTGCAGCAACCATTATTAATTATTCTTCTCCTGAAAAATCGTATCATTTCTTCGGAAAATTGATTTAACTCCTCAGTGCATAATTTTGGAAAAAACATTTCAATCTCCATAAGTGACATAATTCCTCCTTGTACTAAAAATGTATTCAAAAAACCACAGTAGTAAAAGTAGATGCAAAATTGTGACTTCACCTATCATAAACTTGTTGAATTTGCTAATTGTAATTGTACACAAGAATGCTAATTGTGTAGAAGAATAATGAACTGAATTGTACAGAAGAATATTGTGTAAAGTGCTGTCTGACTAGCTCTACTAGTTCTAATTGCACCCGAGTAATCAAGTTCGACCACCCAATGTTTCACTTCCAAATTGACTCGAAAAGGGAATAGTTTGTAGCACTTTCCGCGCGATATCTTTGAACGAATACTTTCCGCATGGCTGAAGCGTCGGGGAGCGAAACCGCTTCTGCTGAGTCTGTTCGGTGATAAATATGCAGCCGATGCAGTTGATGAGAGAAGGTCGTTTATCAATCACCCATTAACACGGACCTAGCGCGCCGTGCAGCTTTGCCGGCTCCGTCGAAAACCTGCTCGCTTCTGCCTCCATATTTCACGGAATCATCGTGATTCTCTTCCACTGTGCTTCCCAGGCGCAGTCGATTTTCCATTAAAATCCGACGTGCACATTGGTCGCATACACACCACTCTCGTGTCGAGGAAATATTCCACGGAGACGCGTTCTGTGGGCCAATCGCTGCATCTCTTCGATATTGCCTCTTTAACTGACGCGAATTGGGGGTGGATTGTGCATTTAGCGAGGCGGGGACTTTTTTTCGTAATTTTAGTGTGATTTCTTAATAGGGAGGTTATAGAATTATATTCAATTATTAATTTAACTGTAGAGTATTTTCAATTGTAGAGTACTTTTACAGGAAACTATTCACATATGTGATGCAATATTCACATGTTAGTTAACACATGATATACAGCATGTGCGATTATAAAATATAGAAACACTGATATTCAGCTGACTGCAGTTGCTATGTTATATGAAACATGTTTGGTCTGTTTAATGCAACACTGAATGTTTTATTAAAAAAAATTTAATCATATACTTTCCGTATGTATTGATATGAGACCACTACAATTATTTACATCCACTACAATTAAACAT